TATCTCGTCACCTGTCGCTGCAGATGTAAGATTGCGGTTTGCTGCCTTGTCATGTCATTTGTAGAATAATATTCATTGATTTTGATCGTTTGTTTTTATGGGTGATTCCCGTTACTCTAGATCTCTAAAACTCTAAATCTAGGGATCTGGAGTAACGGGAATCAATTCATTCAACGGACAGACTGAGAGGATGCCAGCTCAGTGCCAGTCTTTTCCGGAATCTGGAATCTTAATTATTTTTCAACGTAAAGACTCGAAAGACTCAAAACGCGCGCCATAATAATTTTGGTTCAAAGTAAAACATGAAATTTTCGATACTCAACAACTAGAGTAAGACATAAACTCATTCCTACTACTTATTTCCAGTAGAAAATAAGTTGAAATGAATTTATGCATTACGAAAGTTTCTTTCGATAGCCTACATCAAGCCACTCAAGCTCTACTCATTACTCTCACTAGAGTAAAGCATGAACACAGTTTCTGCTTATTATTTCCGATTCGATACCAGGAAGAAATGAATTCATGTTTTACGCTAATTAGTAGCCTGTGAGTTGACAACAAACACACTAAAAGACAACAGTTCCCTCCCAGCAAAACAAAAGGCAACATCGATCGAACGACATTGACAATGGGAGTCGTGGAAGTGGTCACCATGTACTGGTATATTCACCTGAATAACCAAAGTTACAAGAAAAAGCTCTCTCCTGAGGAGAGACGTCGTAGGGATAGGAGAACCCCAAGGATTGCAATTAGAAGATATGCTGAATCCTCCTTCCTCCATTTGTTCCACTCAGGGGATGATCAAGCCCTGCTCAACTGCTGTGGTGTAGACCACAGGGTCTTCAGGGAGCTCGTGGATGTTTTTGCTCCAGTATGGAACAAGTACACTGTTAACAACAACAATGAGATCGTGGAGGTTCCTCGTTACCCCAGTGGGAAGCCCAAGGGGAAGAAAAGGGAGGTAGATGCAGTCTGTGCAATAGGGCTTGTTCTCTACTGGTACAGGACAAGAGGGTCTGTTGCAAGGTCGATGGCAATGGCCTTTGGCTTAACATCCACAGTGATGTATAAGTGGCTCAAGTTTTCAAGAAGAGTGATGCTGGTTGCACTCCACAAACATCCSGAGGCCATGGTCAGTGTCCCAAGTGAGCAAGAAGTGGATGTTTATGTTAAAGCAATTGGAGAAAAGTATCCTCGGCTTGGTGAGAAAAGGGTCTGGGCTGCTGCAGATGGTCTAAAGAGTGCCATTGAAACCTCAGAGGACTGGTTCAAACAGAGAGCCTTCTACAACGCTTGGAAGGAAAACACCTTTGTGAACAGTGTGTTTGTCTTTGCACCNTTTTCAATTGGCTACCGTACGTAACCTCTCGTATGGTACGCTACGGACTACGGACGTCCTCTGTATCAGTCGTCCTTGCAGAACTTTTTCCGAACAACATTACGGCGACCCCTGCACTACGGTACGTACGAGTACGTACCTATTGAGTGAAGTTGGGCGGATTTTCTATGAAATCGATTCGTACAAGTCGAAGGAGTCAAAAGTTCAAGCAACAGCAMGAGTAAGCAAAATTTTTGAAAATTCAAAATAGAAATCAAAAAGTAGGCTTCGCTCGAATTTCAACACATTCAAGACAGAAYGTGTCGGCGCGCTCTCTTTGAAAATTGAAAATCTTTACATCATCAAACCTACCAATCATTGTTCGCAACCACCGTCAGCTGTATTGTCTCACACTGATTAGTGTCCAACGCATACGAGTAACACAAAATTTGCATTCAATGATATTGCACAATTGGTGAAACTTGATTTCTGTGTCGAAACTTACCACATCAAAGTCTTACCTGACTGCAGCAAAACATTTTGACRAGAACAAAAGCTACCAACGAAGAATGTGGACTAGCGAACAAACGCAGCAGCAGCTAAGACGGGCCGTCAAAGAATCGCAGGAAGCGGATCAARGCTCTCTTGCTCTGTCGTCTTCAAACCCATACGACGAGGAAAAAGGGCCATCRTCCCTCAACCGAGATGAAAGAGGCTACGTCGATGCATTGGGAAATCCCAATTCCATGTACAATTTCAACAATGRCACCGTAGATCCGAATTCAATCGAAGCAGAGGAGTTACGGAATATAGAACATGCCCTGGCCCATCAACAACGGGTTCGCAACAACAAACGCCTGGAACTCAGTACCGACTTTTTGGCCGATCTGAGTTTCTTTTTCGGTTCCACCATGTACCTTTGGTTGGCAGTAAGCCAGTCGAAGGACGTCCTTTTTTCTGAGGACACAATAGGAGATGACAGCGGGAGTGGCGACAAAGGATTGTTCCTGGACGACCAGGTCTTGTTTTCGTTCCGTGGTGGCGAGTCGAAGGTCACTCTGTACATTTTGTATGGATTTTCCTCGGGACTGCTCATGTTTGCGTCGGGATTTCTTCGCCTATTTACCACTRCCTTCAGCCCCACCGACAAGATTCCCTGCGTGATGATGTTGTTAGCGGCGTTCTTYGCCATGGTTTCGAGCGCACTCATGGTGAGCCAGCCGGTCTGGTCCAACAGGTGCTACAGCATCGCTATTCACTTGTTTGCACTGCAGGCAGCCACTCTGCTGCTGTGGCGGACGACATCCCCGGGGGGTCTAGCGGGAGTTCCATGGACACGCCTCGTCGGCGACTGTTTGTTTTTCATAGCGACTCTTGGTGGAATCGCTCTGAGTTATCTTTACGTCTTTGAGGCTACCGATCGGCTTCCCTTTGCCTCTGAGTATCTGGTTGTTTTTTCYTACAGCGTTTGGTGGGTGTCCTCTGTCGTCTACTTGTCTCAAACAACGTGCCTCCTAATCCGCCGTGAAAAACAACAAAAGGCGTCCCGTGGCACCCAAATACGATGCGGTTGCTGCCACCGGCGACGCGATGCCGAGGAAGGTGGTGACGAGGGAARCCTACAAAAGTCACTTCCTCAGGAGGATACCCAGAGTACCAACGAAGACGGCAACGAAGTGGAAGAACATTATCAAAGACACTCCAATGGCCACCAAAGAATTGGGAACGAAAATRTTGGTGCCCCTGATGATGAACAAAGTGTTATGAGTCTGTGGACCGCCGGACCAGGACCTGAGAACAAGGAGCAAATTGCTTCGAGCAGCCTGGACAATATTTTTGGCAGGTCTACGTAGCAATGCAGCTGTAAGTATATCCGAGAGKGAAACAACAGGCTTGCACAATTCCTTTTTCCTGCCAGGTTCCGAATAATTGGGGTTTAGTTGGTTTTGGTCCCCCACCCTTGCTTCGTTCATAGTTATTCTCTACCAACACTTTTCCAYGCAAAACAATGACTAAGACGCCTCTGGTATCCATGTTTTTTTTTCAGCCATATACTCATTCGGCCACTGGACGCACTGTACTTCTATATCTCTAACAAAACCTAAAAAATTAACAGAACAATGTTTGACTTGACTATACCGAACGAGATGTTTAAGACATATAATCCTTTCGTCAGCATCAACCTAATTCCAAAATAATGTATGGAAGGCTTGTCTTTTTAAACCTCTGGGAAGAATCAATAATAACRAGTGATCTGACCGATGCGTGTCTCATCCTGGGTCGGGATTATGCTTGGGCCTTAAAACAAATTTACAATTTAATAATCTATTTATAATGAGAAGCAATCGAACCTTCAGGTTAGACCACTATTTTTTGTCCCACTCTTACTGTTCGGCATGAAACCGCGTTCTTTCCCTTTTTGTAGGAATTTCAAGAATATTGGCAGCTTTCCCGTGGTGCAACTCGGTTGATCATGGCACTCCGCAATCGATGCATTCAATGCGGCATGAAAGATTTCTAGGTAGCCATTTTTGGCTTGTCGTCCTGCAAACGATAGAAGATCGTCCGAGCAGCTGTCGAAAGTGTATCCATTGTCTAGGTTTTGGCAGGATATTGCAAAACCAATGTCCTCTTTGCCATCATGTCTCTCTCCGCAATGGCGGGGGATGCACTCCTCGCATTGCTGACCATCGATCCATACATCGCAATAGGGGCCCTCCTCCTCTTTATACGACCGAAAGAGAACGCTCGTCCCGTTCCATCTGGCACTATTTTCTCCATACACGATAGTATTCTGAAAGGAAAGCTCTTCTCCTAAAATGCCATCAAAGGTAAATCCGTAGTTGGTATTGGCGGCACAGACCAAAGCATTGTGGCTAGCATTGTGGCTAGCATTGTGCGCTATATGGTCAAAGGAACTGTCTTTCAAGCAAACGTAGTTCTTCGTGTCAATTTTAGCTGTGGCATTTTGGTCAATGTTTTGATAACGATCGTTACACATTATATTGTGCAATCCTTTAGGGTTTTTGCTATCGCTCCTGCAATGGCACTCCATCGAAAAATTCTCGCGTCTCTGTTGTAGGATGTCATCCCACATTCCCTGGAACTCGGCCCTGTGCAGATTACAAATAGCATCTGTGTTTGCGATGCAGTCTGTTCCCCCCGACTCGCAGCAAGAAGTGCAACAACCACACTCGATAGACCCCCCCTCCTCCAAGCAATCGGCCTGGATTCGAACTCCGCTTCCGAGCATGAGCCCGGGAAKAATGCCATCGCTTCCACAAAAGGTTTGGTTCAATCCGGCTGCTCTTGTATTTTTCAGCCGAGCTTCTACCAAGGAGGAGAGCTTGAAATCGCTCGCTCCAACCGAAAAAAGTCCGTCGTATAGCGGGTTAGATTCCAGATTTAGAAATACTAGAGAGGAAAGTTCGTTGATAACGTCAGGACCATTACCACCGCTGGTAAAATTGTTGAACGATAGATCGAGGTGCGTCAGCCTTTGCAGCTTGGAAGCATCCATTGGAAATGTTCCCGAAAAATCATTGTAGCTTGCAGAGAAATATTCCAGGTCTGTCAGCTGGGCAAGCTGGGAAGGCAAGGTCTCCGAAAATTGGTTTTGGTCCAGAGCGAAATGTCGGAGGTTTTCCATGGCCGAGATCTGGGGGGCAATCGTTCCCTCTAAATCATTGATTGAAAAATCCAAAATCTGTAGACTGGGCGARAAGTACAAAGAAGATGGGATTGTTCCACTGAAATAATTGTCGTTCAGATATAGCGTCTGCAAAGCGGAAAGACGCTCAAAGGTATTCGGAATAGCTCCCTTAAATTGATTCGATCCAAAATCACCATACTGTAGGCCAGTGACAGCTTCTAGAAATTTCTTGGGAAGGGTTCCGGTCAATTGATTCTGATAGACAGAAAAGAGTGTCAGGTCCGMAAGACCCCGGAGGGCATCGGGAAACGTGCCTATCAGGTTGCACGATGAAAATGTCAGGGCGGTCGTGTGCACTAGTCTCCCGATCTCGGTTGGAATTGTCCCCACGAGACCTTTGTTGGAGCTCATTTGTAGGGTTTTGATCTGCGATAAGAACTCAAGTTCGATAGGGATCGTACCCATCAGGTTGTTGTGGTCCAGGCGCAAGCCAACTACATCACTGCGGTGGTTGCAAACGACCCCGTTGGGTGGCTGGGTGTGCAGCGGTTCTTTGTAGTCGCTGCTGTAGCCGTGCCAGTCACAGACGGAGGAAGCGTTTAGAAACCCCATCCCGTCGAACCAACCATCACCGGACGTGGAATAGTACAGGGTAGCCAGTGCATAGCGTTCCGCCAGTTTTGCTTCGGGATTCCCTTCTTGGTCCACGATGCCAGAAATGGTATATGGATCCTTCAGCATCCATTCCAGTGCGAGGCCTTGTGGCGTGGCCTCRGCAATYGGGATCGGCGATCCAGACATTTGTTTGGCCATTTCTCGAAGGTAGCTTTCCTTTGTCAGGCTTTCATTCGCGTCGAGTCTGTCGCCCTCAACGGGGTTCATACCGTTATTCCCAATCCCGTAAATATTAGTGTTGATTTCGGGAAGGGTTTCCCACCAATGTTTCGTGCTATTTTGAACATGAGTAGTATTGATAGGTATAGCTACCTCAGACGCCTCGCCGTTCGATTCTTTTGGCAAAACCAAGACCAGCACAACGATCGAGGCGACCACCAAGGCTACGCTCCATATCACTACACACAGTATAATTCGCACCCGTTTCRTGAGGAATTCTCCCGGCTTGCAGCGGTGACAGCAGCGGTTCCGGAMCCGCTTGCGCTTCCTTCCACMGCTCGACTCCACTACCGACTCGCTGATCGTTTCCGATGGCCGGATTTCCGTGGCCTGGACAATCCGAGACCACAACCGCGCGGCTATTTCGGCTTCCAGCTTGGCCTCGTCGACGACCTCGGCCACGATCGAAACGCCTGCCTTYGYGGACGCGGTTCCGGAACCAAAGGTTCCCTCGTCGTCGTACGGATAATGGTTGCCGGCCACCTCCGATCTGGTGGCACGGCTCCCTGCGTCGTTCGAGAAGCTGCTGGAATAATACTCGGCCGATGTTGGCGGCGTGTAGTTGCGGCTTTTGTGGCTGGAGGCCGAACCGCTCGAGGCGGCCAGCTTTGCCGACGTGTACGGAAAATACTCCGAGGCTTCGGCAACCGGGTTGCACGGCTTGCGAACGCTTCCGCCAAATCCATCCTCCTCCTCTCCGACGAAGATCACCTTTCGGTTGTGCACCCCGTCCTCCCCGGCGAATATCAGTTTTCGGTTGTGTGCACTCTCGCGGAGCTGCAGTGCCCCCGAGTCGTTCTCGGATTGCGATTTCGCGCTGTCGATGTCGCTGTCGGTKTGGTCGTAGTTTGGCTCGGTGTGGTTGTAGTTTGGCCCGGTGTGGACGCGAAGGCTTCCGTCGCTCCTCAGGCTTCTGCTTCTGCCMAARCTGTTTCGCCTTCCTTCACTAGATTTCATGCTGCTGCTGTGGCTGCTCCTGCTGCCACTGTTCCTGCTACYGTACTCGGCGCTGTTGCCATCGTCGAAGGACGKCTGGGTCTGGTATCCGTGAACGCTTCGTGTTCTGCAGAATTTCCTCTGGCYCCTAGATTGACGGTCTCTCGTTGTTGTTTGGGAATTCGTCTTGTGCCTCTCCTCCGTGCTGCTCCAGTCCCTACTCCCAATTTTTGTGGTTGTGATCTGGCCGTCGTTGCTGACCCTCCTGGTGATTTGCCTGTTGTTCTGTGCAAAGCCTCCGCCGRCCGCTTTGCTGTGGCTGCTAATAGTGCTGCCAACGGTGACATCATCGTTGTCCGGCTGGTCTACGGCCAATCCAGGGGCGTTCGAGGGGGGCTGCGGAAACCCCAGGGGCCGAACCACGGAGACGTCGTCGGAGCTGTGGCAGTCGCATTCGCATTCGCTTCCGCTCTCGGGGTCGCCGCGGAAGGGCTGCTCGCTTGCCATCGCGGCTGGGTCTTTTTTGGTCTTCCCGCGAACAATTCGGCAGGCAGCTGCGCGGTCCGGAATCGACGACGAACAAGGCCGATTCGCTCCGCCCGCTTTTKTGTATGGAAGAGTGAAGAAACGACCCACTCTCGCAAGGATCGTCTCTCTCGGCAATGCCCAGGTGGTTCTTCCTCGTTTCTCTGGCCTGGATAGTGTAGTGGTTGTCGCKGTATTTGGGGTTCTGAGGAACTTTCCAAAAATTTCCAACCCTGGCGATTCTTACATTTGGCATGGATAGTTTTTCGTACCCTAATTTTTATCAATCGACGTCTAGCTATAACGTTTGTCCGCTTAGATTCAGTGGCACTAATGTAACGCCTTAGAGATCAATATGGTGGTATATGAAAGTTGCAACATTCTCTATTTTTCAACGTATGACTAATTTTATCAATACGCCTAAGTAAATGGAAATGCGCCATTCGGAAGTCATCGTCCCCTTGTTCGGYGCGGTTCCAAAAAATTTCTCAAACCCGCCGTTAGGAAGGGCTGGTGGTGTGAAACGTAATACGTGTGCTGTGGCTGCGTGGTTATGTTTTCCTACGGGTGCGTACAGTGGAGTGAGGTTCTTCAGAAACAAACTGGTA